TGGATTTAAAATGAAACGTAATAATACATAAATACAAAGTCCATTAATCACGCCGAATTAATTATTTTTGATTAATGTTAATTTATTATTATTATTATTATTATTATTATTATTATCATCATAGTATTCGTTCGGAGAGTAACAATGAAAGATGGCGGCGGTTGTATGTTTTAAAAGAGAGGAAGGGAAGGGAGGGGAGGGGAAAAGAAGATGGATTATGAGTATATATATATATATATATTTTTTTTTCATTTGTTTAAGAGAAAAAGAAGAGATGTAGGTCACTCGGGTTGTAGGTCAAACAAAAAAAAAAAAAAAAACAAATGGCGGCGGGGCTGAGAATTTTATGATTAGGTCACCTCTTTTTTACTTACTCTCACCTACACTAGAATAATCCGAGATTTTTTTTTTTTTACATTCGAAATAGAAAAAATTATTTTTTTAATCTTTTAATTAACCGAGATTTGAAAAAAAAAAAAAAAAAAATGGCGGAATTTCAAGTATAGTCAGTCAGTCAGTCGCGTTCGTTCGTTTATTCGTCTGGAATTTTTTTTTTTTTTTTTGTCAATCGACTTTAATTCGATTTTAATAAATTCTCTTTCGATTGATTTGTTGTTGTTTTAAAAAATCGATTAAGAAAACAATTTTAGAATTTTATTTTAAAATCTCAGATAAACTTTACTTTCATTTTATTAATCTCAACGTAAATTTTTTATTTATTTAACTTAATATTATGTTAATTTAAATGGTTTCGAGATGAAATTCACGGATACAGGTTTGCCAACCCAAACCAACCGCTAAAAAAAAAAAAAAAAAAATTATTTCCCTCCGGAAGTGAAAGAAACCGAGAGCGAGAGAGAGAGAGAGAGAGGAAGTGAAAGAGATTATCCTTTTTGAAATAAGGAAAAGGAAAATGAAAATCATAGAGTGTATAAACAACGTTGAGTGACGTCACATATGACTTTAACTTTATTTGTGTCGTCTGAACCTTTTATTATTAATCTTAACGAGTATTACTATTATTGTCGAGACAAAATTGTAGAATAATAATAATAATAATAATAATAATAATAATAATAACGTTTTTTCCATCTCTCTCTCTCTCTCTCTCTCTCTTTCTCTGTCTTTTTATTTCGTCTTTTGTAAAATCATCGCTAACATCATCGAATAATTTTGTTTTTTTTGTTTTTTTTGTTTTTTGTTTTTTTTTTTTTTGGCAAACAGTTCAAACGTTTCAGGTAAAATTTTTATTTTATTTTTCTTTTTTCTTTTGTAAATAATTTTTTTTTTTTTTTTTTAAAGTCTGAGCGCTGAACAAATTTAAAATTAGAATTTTTTTTTTTTTTTTTTTGACGAAAATAATTTAATTTAATTATATTGGAAAACATGTTTTGGGGGGGGGGGGGGGGGGGGGGGTTTGGGTAAATTTTCCGCTGTTAAATGAACAAATTAAAAAAAAAAAAAAAAAAAAAATTAACCAATTACAAACTCCGACTTTTTTTTTTTCTCTCTCTCTCTCTTTTTAAATGTAATTTTCTCGTCTACCGTTTTTCCTGAGACGTCGTTAAATTTGTTATGGTTGTAAAAAAAGAAGAAACGGTTACGTAGAAAAAAAAAAAAAAAAGAGAAAATTTTGTTGTTAACTATTTGTCCGAAATAGTTTCCTGCTACCCTCTCAATGTAGCAAATTGTTAAATGCCATATTATTATTATTATTATTATTATTTAAATAAATGGATCCGTAATAATATTTTACACAATTTAAAAGAAATTGCAATCGTAAATAGTAATTATAAATCGTTTTGTATTTTGCATTGCACAGACGTCGTCATTAAAGAAAAAAAAAAAATTTTTTTTTTTTTGATGTGGCAAATAATGACATTCGTTGTTTTTTTTTTTCACGTAATTTACTAACTAATATTAACCAACACATGTGGGGATTTACGGTATTTACTCTCTCTCTCTCTCTCTCTCTCTCTCTCTCTCTCTTTCTCTTTCTCTGTCTCTTTCTCTCTTTTTTTGTAATTTACGCGCACGCATGCATAGATTCATAGACATAAACGCACATTTAAAAAATAATTATCATTACTTACGATCATTATTATTATTATTATTATTATAGCCATTACTATAACTATTATTATTATTATTATTAATATTATTATTATTATTGCAATATTTAGGGTAATTGCATAATCGTCACTCGCAACTATTAATTTTTTTTTTTTCTTTTAAAGGAAAATTAAAGAGAATGCAATTATTCATTTTTTCCATCAACGGTAAATGGTAGTAGTGGATTTAATAATGATGATGATAATAAGATAAATGATTGTTTGTTTGTTTGTTTGTTTGTTGGTTTGTTTTCAAACATGTTTAAACTCACGTGTGTGGCGACTAGGTTTTGATGTCAACTTTTTTTTTTTTTTTTATTTTGTTCGGGTGTTAAAAAGGGTAAAGATTTTTTTATTGTTGTTGTTGTTGTTGTTGTTGTTGTTGTTGTTGTTGTTGTTGTGGTTGTGGTTGTCGTTGTTGTTATTTTTATTCGAAAGGGAGAGAAAACTTTTTTTTTAAAAAAAATTACCGTTAAAAATTTCATTTTATGACGATTTGGTCGCGAACGATGAATTTGTCAAAAATGTCCTCGTTCGTTTCCTTTCGTTTATTTATTAAATTTTTTGAACGGGTAAAAGAAGAATTTTGAAAGAAGATGACAAAGAAAGAAAGAAAAGAAGGAAAACAAGTTTAAATAGATTTATTTATTTATATTACGAAATACTCGGCAATATTGCTTAATACACCAACCGAAATCGAAAAAAAAAACCGTCGTTTAACAATATTAAATAGATTTTATTTTGTTGTCCACCGCCTTGCGGATTAAAAATTCATAAAAATTAAAATAGTAACCTTTTTATTTACCAGAGGGCTCCCCACATTTGTTTACAAAATTTTCGTGAATTATAAATGGCGGGAGGGGGGAAAAACGGCAACGTCGAATCGGTATGGTAGTAATACAATTAAAATGTGCGCCATTAGTTAGTTGTTGAATAATGATATTTCTGTTTGTTGTTGTTGTTGTTGTATATTTTCATAACACGTTTTTCACGTCTCTGCTAATTAACAGATGCTTACGGCTTCCAACCCTTTTCCCTCCTTCTCCTCCTCCCCCTCCCCCCTCTCTGTTAACTACTACATGCATCTTTGCAGGTGTGACAATCGTTGGGTGAAATTATTCTGACGTAATAAATAAAATGGTGAACCTGCATCCGGTGAAAATTGCTTTCGTTAATTTTTTTTTTTTTTTGGGGAGGGGAGGGGAGAGGAGGGGAGGGCTTTTATTTTCTTTGTAATGCAACGGTTTTTTTTTTTTTTTTTGTAATTACGATTAAGGTATTACGAAGTCATACCTTGACTTGCTAAATATGTTGATAATGTTGCTAAAGTAAGATTTCCACGAAACAAAGAGAGCAATGACTTTTTTTTTTAAAACTTTAATTAAAGAATGTAGATCTCTCTGTCTCTCTCTCTCTCTCTCTCTCTCTCTCTCTCACTCTCTCTATCTCTCTCTCACTCTCATTCTCTCTTTCTTTCTCACTCTCTCTTTTATTTTTATATTTTTTTTTTATTCTATCTTTCTCGGTCTTTGTTCTTTACGATCACAAATTAGGTCGTACGAACGTAAGTAGTGGTAGTAGTGGTAGTGTGGTATACCTTCTTTAATTCTTCTTTACTACTCAGGTTTGTCTTGCCTGCTTTCTCCTTTCTTTTTTTTTATACCTTTCTTTTTATTTATTTTTAAATTTTTCATTCACGTCTGATTTTAAACTTTTTTTTTTTTTTTTTTTTTCTATTTCTTATCTCATGTTTGAACCGTCATGATCGTAAAAATGATCATCGTCATCATCATCATCATCATCATCATCATCTTCGTCGTCATCTGGTCTATTCGGTTTTTTTGTTTTCTTATCCGTGTTCCTATATTTCTTTGCACGTGTCAAAACGATAGCGCGTTTAATGCTTTCTCGAAGTCTTATATATCTCTAAAGGATTAACCTTGACCGTTCTTTTGGTACACTCGTTCTTCAAGATCTCCTTTTTTTTTTTTCTTTTCTGTTACATCACTCATTCATCGTCTCAAACACTTCCTTTTATACTATTATTATTTTTATGTTGTATACTTGTATTGATTCCGGGTTGCGAACGTTCCCCCCTCACCCCTCCTAATTAAGTTTATCCGTTGTTTTGTTTTTCGTGCAATTTCTTCTTCTGGATGTTGAATTACATTTGAGAGGGAACAAAAGAACGCGAATACGGTCGTATATTAACGGTATATCAACATCATGAGCGACATGATCGTGTATAAAAATAAAATGGCGGTCAAATCAGAACGAAAAATGAAAAAAAAATTGAAAAAATTTCTTTGGTTTACTTTTCCTGGCGCCCCTTTTATATCGTCTCGAAATTTATTTTTTTTGTCTAATCGGAAAAGACAGATCTGTTTAGTATTTGACCGGATTTTATACGTCCATCTTTTTTTTTTTTTTTTTTTTTTTTCGATACATGTAGAAAATATTATTATTATTATTATTATTTTAAGTGTAGGAATTCGAGTATTTTTTTTTTTTTTTTTTTTTTTTTTGGCTTATTCGGTACCGTTATTTTGAATGATTTTGTGAAAAAAAAAATTAATTTGAAAAATAAGTAGAAGAAGAAGAAGAAACATTTCTAATATTTATCGTCTTAATTTTTTTTTTTTTTTTTCTTGTTGTACAGTTATAATTTCGTTCTCATTAAGTGAATATTATTATTATTATTATTATTATCATTATTATCATTATCATTATTATTATTATTATTATTATTATTATTATGAGTATTTATTTATTAATTTTTTTTTGTTTTAGAATCGTGGGCCGAGAAGCTTGTGGATAGACCGTTGGAAAAATGGTTTCGGATTCACGCTCCGTCATTTCGTCGTGTATCCACCCGAGTCGTACATGGTCATGGCGAAAGAAAAAAGGTTGGGATTACGACAGGGGAATGCGAATTTAAACGAACCCATGGACACGATATTTGTTAAAGCGGTGCACGAGGGTACGTCGGCACATGCAGCAGGTCTCGAAACAGGTGAGTTAATTATTGAAAAAAAAAAATGGGGGGAGAGAGAGAGAGAAAGAGAGAGGGAGAGGGAATCGAATCCCATAGCAAATAATTCTTGGGATCCCCCTTTTTTTTTTGAACGGTGTATGAATAAATCAGACACGAATGCATCAACCGTAATAATGAATGATAATTATTATTATTATTATTATGTATACTATCTCGTATGTATATTCGGAGGGGATCCCTCTCGTTTGATTATTTTTCGGGTCGAACCGCATGTTTTTTTAAATTCATTTAAATTTATTAATATCCCCCCTTCCCTCTTTTTGTTTTTTTGTTTTTTTTTTTTTTTTTTGTTCTCGTCATTGTTGTTGTTGTGGTTGTTGTTTCTTCGGGTTACTTAACGGCCTTTTTTTTTTTCTTTTGACAACCGTATTGTTTTTACTTTTGATTTTTTTTTTTTTCGTTTTTGTTTTCGACGATATGTTGTGATGAGAAAGAAAGAGAGAGAGAGAGAGAGAGAGAGAGAGAAAAGTCAGTGTAACAAGAAATACGTGACAAGATTTTGATTTTTAATGTCTAACCATTTGTCAAATTCTTTTAATATTTAATAAAATGCGCGGTGAGTTGGAAACATTTAAATGTGTGTAAACCTATTAAGAATCGATTTATAAGAGAGAGAGAGAGAGAAAGAGAGAGTGAGTGAGTGAGTGAGAGAGTGAGAGAGAATAGTTTCTGGGTAGTAGATTTTAATTTAATTTTAGAAAAAAAAAAAAAAAACTTGAATTGATGTACGAAGCTAGTCGCTTCACGGTTCCTACCTTATTTTTTGCATATATATATATATATATATATATATTATAACGCGTTTGTTTTCGTCTCTCTCTCTCTCTCACTCTCTCTCTCTCTCTCTCTTTCTCTCTCTTTCTACCTGTCTATCTCTCAATTTTTTCATTTTATTTTATTTTTATTTTTAAATATTATAGTGATATTTGTTGTAGTGGTGAATTGAATTGGTGACGAGTATTTTATTTATATATATATATTAGAATTAAATAAAAATAATGATAATGATAATGATAATAACAACGTGAAATTTTTGTGTTGGTAAATATCCAGTTTTTTCGAATAAACAGTTAATTGTTTACATAAACAAGGATACTAACGTATCGCAAACATAAAACGGTTTTTTTAAAAAAAAAAAACTGATGGATAAATAATTTTAAAAATATTTAAACGTGTTGTTGTTGTTGTTGTGAGTGTTTTACTTTTCCACATATTTCGAAAAAATTTATTTTTTTTTCTCATGATATAAATTTGATTTGTTTTTATTATTATTATTATTATTATTATTATTATTATTATTATTATTATTATTATTATTATTATTATTATTATTATTATTATTATTATTATTATTATAAAGAAGAAGAAAAGAAAAGGTTTTTCCCTTAATCTATAACATTTTTCTGTAAATAAAGCTCGTAACCTACATTTTATTCATTAATTTAAAAAACAAACGAAAGTGAAAGAGACGTGGTAGTAGTAGTGGTGGTTAGTACATTCGAAAGTGGTTAAAAGAAGTGTTTGTTGTGTGTGTGTGTGTATGTGCGCGCATTTCCTCCAACTCATTTTTTTTTATATAAATGTAAAGAAAGGTGAATTTTTGTTTTGGTTGTTGTTGTCGTATTAAATTTTATATTTAGGATTATTTTATTGAATCCACCGTGACATGAAATCGATTTGTAATCATACCTGAACTGATTGATTGACTTAGCGAGAGAGCGAGCGAGAGATCGAACGAACGAGCGATTGATCGAATCGATTTTATTGTGATTCGAGTCGAAAGTTTTTTTTTTTTTTTCGAAAGTTTTTAAGATTGTCGTTTGTTGTCGTTTTGTTATCGTTGTCAAAACGACAGTTTTCCCTCTTGCGAGTCAACCGAAAACTCGTTTTCATTATTTTTTTTCCCACTTTACGTAAGGTTTTTTTTTTTTTTCTCACGTGCTCTCATTGTTTTTTTTTTGCACGGGTTAGGTATCAGGTTTTATTAGGTTAGGGAATCGAAAAATCTCCAAGTTTTTAAAACGATCAATCATTCATTTGTTGTCGTAAGAGGTTTTTTTTTAACAAAAATTTTCTTATGCAAGCGTGTGTGATTTTTCACGGTTTTCTATCTCTCTCTCTCTTTCTCTCTCGCTCTCTCTCTCTCTCTCTATCCTCTTTTCATTTGACATTTCACGGATCATAAATAATAACAAAGTGATTACTGCTGCATTCGTTTTAAATTTTTTTTTGCTAAAAAATTTTTTTTTTTGTGTGTGTGTCGCGTTTAAGGAAAATTTATCAATTAAGTAATTTAAATTTTTGAAAGTGCATCTTCCAACCAGAGGTAAAAAAAAAAAACGGTTAACCTTAATTACGGTTGTTTTTTTTTTAGTGTCAAGGCGTAACCGAACGTTTTGTTTGTTGTTGCGGGATAAATAAAAATTTGGTTGAGAGATTCCTTTAATGTTTGTTTGTGCGTGCGTGTGTGCGTACGTACGCATATGTTTGTTTCGTTAGTACACCGTTGTGCGTATCCTCGTGTACGAGTATTCATTTTTTTCTAAGGAACAAACGATTGTACAATCGTAAATTGTGCACGCTTCCATTTTATTATTATTATTATTACTGTTATTGTTGTTGTTGTTGTTTTTGTTTTTGTTGTTTTTGTTCTTAGCACCATTTTCCTTGTACTGTGTTTTATTTGTTTATACTTTTTCCCCGGATTTACGCATAAAGGTTAAGATAAAATTTTAATTAAAGAAAATTTGTAAGAGTGAGAGGTAAGGTAGATAGAGAGAGAGAGAGAGAGAGAGAGAGAGAAACGTGATTATGTAGTATTTAGTCAGTAGTAGTAGTAGTAGTAGTAGTAGTCAGTCAGTTCGTTTTTTCAAATTGTTATGATGACTCGGTGAAATTGTTTTTTTAAAAAAAAAAAAAAAAAAAAAAAGATTATGTGCGTGAGTGCGTGCGTGCGTGAGTGCGTATATTATCGTGTATTATTAAAAGTGCCTTAAAAATTAATTTAATTTAACCATCGACAATTAATTCGAAATGTCGAAATTCGAACGGAAAGGAAAAATTATTTGATTTGAAAAAAAAATAATAATAATAATTTATGGATGTGAGATGGTAAGAGAGAGAGAGAGAGAGAGAGAGAGAGAGAGAGAGAGAGAGAGAGAGAGAGAGAGAGAGAGTCAATTTCTTTTATTTTTTTTGTTATTTAGCTGGGGTCCGATAGAAGAAATTTCTATTGCCGTTTAAAAAACGGTCATAAATTTACAAAAAAAAAAAAAAAAAAAAAATTTATTAATTAGGTTTTTAAATTGATTGATTTTTTTTTTTTTTTTTTTAATAACAAAAACACCCATGGTTAAATGGATTTTATTATTCATTCAATAATAAATGAAATAAATTGAGATCGAGTTGTTTCGGTAGCAACTTTCATTTCCCCCTCAGCCGATTGTTTTAGTTTTAGTTTTTAGAAAATGAAAAATAATAATGATGATGTTAATAATTCGAAAGGTAGCTGCGAAAAAAAAAAAAAAACAAGTTTTCTTTAGAAAGAGATAGAGAGAGAGAGAGAGAGAGAGAGAGAGGGGGGGAGACAAACTGACGCAAACAAACGGATAGAGTAAAGAGAGTAGGTCGCTTTGACACATTTACCTGATGCGCCATTCATAATAATAGTTACAGTTTTAAAATTATTATTATTATTATTGTTATTATTATTATTATTATTATTATTATTATTATTATTATTATTATTATCCACCATTAAACACGACAAGGCTACTTGTCGGAGTTTTTAAGTATTTATCCGAGGTTTCTACCCGATTCCTTAGGGACAAATACTCGAATTTCGGTGGTGCCACTTATTATAAGATAGCACCACATCAATTCTTGAAGGTCTTCCTGAGTCCGTCTTTTTCGATGGGAACGATTTGTCTCCTGAACTGGGCTCCGGTGACTAACATCTTTGGAGTGGCCAGGGTCAGAAGCAGTGAAATTCACGTTCTCGTCGAGCTGCCTCAGGTCGACAGTAGAACAAGATTTGTTTTTTGGTTCTTACTTTGTCTTGTTCTCATTTTTTTTTTTTGCTCTTTTAAGCCAACAGCACGTGGCGTTCTCAGACGGTCACCCATCCAAGTTTGCACCACGCCCGATGCTGCTTAACTTCGGTGATCGTACGGGAACCGGTGTGACCAGCACGCTATGGCCGTTGGCTTTTATTATTATTATTATTATTATTATTATTGTTTATTTCTGGCGAATTGTCAAACACGCACGCACGCACACACACACACACACACACACGCACACATCAAGTTATAAAATAGGAAATGGTTCGTATTAAAGGTGAACAAACGAGTTTTTTTTTTTTTAAATACAAGTATTATTATTATTATGTTATTGTCGCGTTTAAAAATTAAATATTTGTTATTGATATCTCTTGGATTCAAAAGTAAATAAAGGGATCCGTAGAATGAGGAATCCTACATTCGAATCCGTCGTTCTTTGCATATATCCTATGATTTTTTACTAAAAAAAATATTGTTTAGGTTTTAAATTAAATTATACAATTGCTTTTATGAATTCTTTCTTTAGAGGGCGGTGGGGAGGTAGGGGGTAGGGGGTAGGAGGGAAGGGGAAAACGATTAAAACGATTTATTTTCGTATTAAATTTTTTTTTAAATTGAACTCGATATAACAACACATGCCCACGTAGTTTAACAAAGCAATTAAAAACATTGATTTAAAAAAATAACATTATCAATCGTAATTTTTATTGTTGTTAAAAGATTAACGAAAAAAAAAAAAAAAACAATAATCCTTGAATTTATTATTATTATTATTATTATTTTGCCTCGGTGTAATATTAATAATACTTTCTCAAATAGGCGTAAGGTTAAATAAAACAATAATAATGGTTGATTGAGCGAAAATTTGATAATTGTCATTAAAAAAAAAAAAAAAACAATTTTCCACCGTAATTTATTTATCGATTGAAAATTTATAAAAATTTTTTAAAAAATGATTATTAATATTTACAGGTGATAGAATATTAAGCGTGAATGGGGAAACAATTGCTGGGAAAACATATGCCCAAGTTGTACAGCAAATACACAACACACCGGAACGATTGAATTTATTAGTTGTACCAAAAGAAGAAGATATAATTCAGCAAGTGAGTCATAATTATCTCTTTGTAAAAAAAAAAAAAGTGTTAAAAAAAAAGGATAAACATTTTAAAATTTTTGTTTTTTTTTCTCTCTCCCCCTCCCCCCCTCTCCCCCCCGTAGTATTACAGCGAAACGGCTCATAATCCTAAGACAAATGCTCGACCTCGTTTAAGATCTCCAGAAGTTGTGCAAGATCCTAAAAGGGCAAGCGCACTATCACTTCCAGGCACCCAAAGAAATATGTCAAGTCAAAAAATGATGATGTCACCCGTTCGACAACAGCAAAGCCCTCCGGTTTTCGGTTCTTGGCAGCACGGCATGCATTCTTCAAATCCTGAAACGGTTTGCAATAATTCGTTAATGTGGCCGAATCAGAGCATAGGTGAGAACCACTCTAATGTTATGGAATGAGTTTTTTATTGTTGCACGCATTTAAAAAAAAAATAAATAAATAAATTTATTCGCCGCAGGAAGCGAGAATAGAGGTACGATGGAAATGCATAGATTAAAAATGCAAAATTCAAGATGGGGAAACAGCGGGAGCGGAAAAGTACAAACCGATCAACAAATATCTGTGATAAAGACAAATAATAATCCCGCGACGTTTTATTCTAACGCGAGCGGTTGTCGTTTGAGTTTGGACGGCGGAACCCTCGACAGACGGGAAAGTTCATCGAGTTCGACTCTTACCGACGACTCGGTCATAATGTCTAGAATACGGAAAAGCTGTGAGCAAAAAGAAGAATTCTTGAGGAACACGGCTACGCCTTTGTATTCACAAATAATCGCGAGAGAATTTTATGCGAGGCCACAAAAATTTCAAAAACAAATATGGCCTCCGAACAGTCCTCCTCCTCCTCCTCCTTCCGAAAGTGAAGATTTGGAACTTAAATCCGCGGTCGGCGATGATCGTCCGTCGCTTAAAAGCGGTCAACTCCAATCCATGAAAACCTTGTCCAGGGTACAAGACGGTTCACCTAAAAGTTTCCCATCAGAAACACTCGACGGCGAGACCTGTGAGTAGAAAAAAATTGATAACTTTCATTTGTTGCGATCATTTTTTGTTATTGTGTAAACTACCGAGAACAACGACGACGACAAACGACAAACGACAATTTTCCGCCATTAATTAAAAAGCGAAGAAAAAAACGGTTTTTATTTGACGGTTATCGAAGACCTTGACTAAACAATCAAATCAATTTAATTATTATTATTATCAATAGCAAAAAAATATGATTTTTGTCGTAAAATGCGTTTAGGTGAAACACCACAATCGTGGCACGATTCTCCGAAAAATCGATCTCATTCTGAAGAGTCTGATTCCGCACGACATGTTGGAGGAGCAGGAGGACAAAGGAAATTGCACATAGTATCTCAAAGAGCCAAACAATTCGAAACAGGTCAATTGGAAGAAGAAGAAAATAAAACACATTTTTACAGGAGCGAATTGGCAAGGTACACACACACACACGCCTCTCTCTCTCTCTCTCTCTTCCCGTTTTCTCTTAATAATAATATAAACGGTTCCGAATATAAACATTTATTATAGGTTGTCGGGTAAAAAAACGGTACCGAACGTCGCGGTGAGAAAACAAGAGTTTGAAAGAGTCGGAAGAGATGGAAATCAAAGTGGAGGAAAAGATTTTTGTTCTTCTGCGGAAAGTTTTTCTTCTTCCGGAGATGCAGGCGGGATTTTATCCGGTAACAGGACTGTGATAGTCGGATCTAAACAAATTCACGTTGACCCGCCGACAGATTTTAAACAATTAGGTCCAGGTAAGGCCAAAAAAACGAATAAATTTTTATAGTTTTCGAATCCGATACGATGATAATTTTTTTTTTTTTTTTTTTTTTTTGATCACGTGTCAGAAGTAGAAAATCAAGATCGGAATAAGGAAAATGTTTCGAAAACGTCAAAAAGTTGGACGAGTTTACAATCGAATCCGTCAAAGGAAAAATTAATACTCGTCGAAACTAACGAAAAAGGAAAAGAGGAAGAAAGACAAAGGCATAAGGCCGTTCGACAAGATTCTTATTTAGCAGCCGTGAAACCGGTTTCGAGTAATGCAGGTACGTAACAAAGTGGAAACCTTTTTTTGCAATATATGGATTTAAATGGGTGCGTGAAAGCGTGAGTAAGTGCGTGAGTGCGTGAGTGCGTGCGTTTTCTAAAAAAAAAAAATACATTAAGTTAATTTAGTAGTAGTAGTAGAGTAGTCATTGGAGCATGCTGCTGCCATCTTGTAATTTGTTTCCTTTTTTTCTTTTGTACCCTTTGATTATATTATTCCTTATTATTATTATAATTGCAGGAGTTCATAATAATGCCGGAAGTCAAGTAACGGAAGTGGTGGTGAGAAGAGAAAAAAATTCCACGTTATCGTCCGCCGAAGATGATCGTGCCACGAGGAGAATATCATATCTCAAAGCAACATCAAACGATCAAATGAACATTGGTTTGGATAAAGATTCCGATCGTTCAACCGTTAAAAGGTACGAAAAATTAAAAACTGAAAATCGGGGGGACAGGAATGGGGTAAGTAGAGGCGGGGGGGAAAGAAAAATAAAGTTATTTTCTCTATCGTTTTTTTTTTATTTTTTTTCTGTTTGTTTGTTTACACATCCTAAAAAAAAAAAAAAATAAAAAAAAAAATTTTTGTTAAATGTGGGCAGGAAATGGATGTATCCCATGTTGCCAGGAGATATTCAAAGGTTGAGACGTATTTTCGAAGAATATTCTGGAATTGTTGATACCGGGTAATTTTTTTAAAAAAAAAAAATAAATAAATAAATGTAAAAAAAAAAAATTAGTGGTGATGATGATTTCTCACGATTTGAAGAAATTTAGTTTTTGATTTGTGTATTATTTGATGTTTAGCATAAAAAAAAAAAAAAAAAAATTTGAAACTTTTTTTTTTTTAAATGTTTTTCATTTTATTACTCAGCCTCGTTTTACGGCTGCAAAAAAAAAAAAAAAAAAAAAAAAATTTTTTACACAAGAAGCGTAAGCAAGAGAAAAACCCCGATTGCTTATCACCCACCCACCCACCCACATCATGGCCACAAATTCTTTGTTGTTGTTTTAACGCCATTTTTTTTTTTTTATTTGCAATAATGAATTGCAAGGTTTATTTATATTTATGTGTATATTTAATTGTTATCAAAGCTTGTTAATTGATGTTGCACACACACACACACACAAAAACTGGAGTATTTTGCATTAGTTTATTTGTTTACAATAATAATAATAATAATAATAATAATAAAATAAAAAATTTGATTTTCGACTTTAATATTCGTTTTTTTTTTTTTCCAGCAGTTCATCGAATAATAGTAACAACGAGGGATCTTCAAAAAGGCACACGGTTATAAATATCGAAAAATCAGAATTGAATGAAAATTTAAAAATAATCAAAGACGGTTGGCTAAACTGTAAAGTGGCCGTCATTGATGGTAAACGAGCCGGAGATCGTTCGTGGAAACAAATATGGGCAATACTTCGGGGACCCTATTTGACGACGCATAAGGATAAGCAAGCCGAACAAGCGGAATACACGATCGATATAAGAAGGTATAAATAAAAATAAACGATTGGATAAAATCACTTTTTCAGATTGGATAATAATAATAATAATAATAATAATAATAATAATAATGGATGATTTTTTAGTTGCACCGTGGACATACCTCAAAATTATACTAAAAAGAAAAACGTTTTCAAAATAAAAACGGAGTCGGAAACGGAGTATTGGCTTCAAGCGGAGGATCAAGACGATTTGGACGGTTGGATAAAAATATTAGATGAACAATCGGAAAATTCTAATACTCTCTCACCTCAGGCCGTGCACAAGGGAATTAAAAAATTGGGAAATTTGAGAACGAGGAGTCCGACGGGACAAAGTCCAGCTAGTAAAACTAGAAAAGCAACTCAATTGGGTTCGTATTTTCCTATTTTATTTGTCGAGAAACGCGACGGATTTAACGAGGGGGGAGGGGGGGAAAAGAAAATAAATTAAACTTTCCCGTGTTATTTCCAGAACAACCCGTGTCGCCGAAAAGTAAAACGTGGAAAGGAAAACTCGGGAAACAATTTAAAAAAATGCAAGGAAGCGGGGGTTCTCCTTCGTCTCCCACCATCTCGTACCCGGAAGGGGCAACCATTAAAGTTCCTATCGAATTATGTCCTCCCTCAACCATATCCGAATATATTCCTTTGATCGTTGAGAAATGCACGAGCATCGTGGAATCCCGAGGCCTTGAAGTCGTCGGGATATATAGGATTCCTGGGAATACTGCGGCTGTGACTGCTCTTACCGAGGCTGTGAATAAAGGAATCGATAGTATTAGCCCAGAGGTAAAGGGAAAAACTAGAATGAATGGCTTACAATTCGATCGTTCGTTTAATAATAATAATAATAATGATGATTTTTAGGATCCTCGGTGGAACGACATAAACGTCATATCGAGTTTGTTGAAATCGTTTTTTAGAAATTTACCAGATTCACTTTTCACGGCTGAACTTTATCCGAAATTTATAGAAGCAGATAAAATAGTCGATCCTAAAGTACGAATGGTCACACTCAGGAAGCTGGTAAGCTTAGACTTTTTACTACTGCCACTACTACTACTACTACTACTACATCTATCTTTATTTAACGGAAAAAATAATTCTTTTTTTGTTGTTGTTGTTGTTCGTACAGATAAAAGAACTGCCGGAACATAATTTTGAAACTTTAAAGCATTTGTTGTATCATCTGAAAAAAATAGTTTCGAAAAGTTCGGTAAATAAAATGGAGACGCAAAATTTAGCAATTGTTTTCGGTCCGACGTTATTAACGACGACCGATCTCATGGCTTTGGTTACCGACACGTCACACCAGTGCAGAATCGTCGAATCGTTAATAACTCACGTACGACATTAATTAATTACGTCACGATTGAATTTTATAACGAAAATCGTTTAAATTGAACTAATTTTTTTTTTTTTTCCTTCTACTCGCAGGTAGACTGGTTTTTTTCAAACGATGACGTAAACACTCTTGAAAATTTGACACCGCCGATGTCATCATCGGATGCTCAGGTTTCATCGGAAACTCCGCCGAATGCAAATTTACTCTTGGGCAACATTCATAAAATCGAAGGTAAATTGATCTACGGATGGATGGATGGATGGATGGATGGTTAATATTGAAAAAGGAAGGAAGGAAATTGCTCACTCTCGATCTCATTTCAGGTTATTCACGATTGGAACATTCTCCTAATAAGGACATGTCTCCGAAAGATATAGTTTCTTCTATTATTTCAGCTGCGAATAGGAAAATTTCCAAAGGGAAATCGAAAAAAGTCGATAAAACCGTCACGCAAATCGAATCGGAAACGAAAACGGTAAATTAAATATTAATAATAATAATAATAATAATAATAATAATAATAATAATCGTAACTCGTCGTCCATTGTTTTGAATGCATATTACTATGTTTTGGTAAATTTAGGTAACTAAGAAAACTGAATTAATAAAAGAAGAAGAATTATTGTTGGAACCTTCGACTTCCGTTGCCGCATCAATCGTGAGTTCCTTTGTCGGAGAAATCCTTCGGAATAAAAATGGGGATATCAGCAAATCTTCCACCACTTCCGATCTTAATTCGAATGACGTCATCAGAGCGTATTCGGGATTGGATTCGAATACGATAGAACGAATAAAAAGGTTTGGGGGAGAGAGAAAAAAAAAAAAATGTGTTTTTTTTTTTTTTTTTGTTGCATTTTTAATTAGAAAATAATACAAAACGTTTTTTTTTTTTGTTGTTGACATAATCAGGTTCGAACAAGAAACTCATGCGATGTTGCAAAGGGATCCGACGAAAACGAGGAGGGGGGGAGACACGGAAACAAATTGGTTGTCGGACAAACAAATAATTGAAATGAAATTACAACAAGCCAAAAGAGAATTAGAAAACGAAGAAGATGTTTTAGATGCATTGACAAATGCTTCAACTGGTTCGCCACATTACCTTTTTACCTTTTTTTTTTTTTTTTTTTTACCTATTTTTAATGACAAATGACAAATTCCTTTTTTTCAGATCTCACGAAAAAATCAAATTCAGACCGATCATCATTTTCTAGTCATGCTGAAAATAACATTCCGTCGACGATACGGAAAGGCGGTTTATACGAAAACGAAGGTTCCGATCCCACGACGACTCCAAACTCCGGAAGCTTAAAAAGGTTCAAAAGTAATAGAGACGAATCGAACGAAATAATAACGATGACTTCTAGCTTGGATTCGTTGCACGACGCGGGTAAAAGTGATACATCAGACGACGGTAAGAAAACTACGACGAAACATTTAAAATTAGGTTGGCATTACTGCATTAGTAGTAGTAGTGGTGGTGGTGGTGGTGGTAGTAGCAATAATAATAATTTTGACGTGTGACGTAAGAGTTTATAATACCGACATTAGAAATGTCGTGGAACGAATCATTTATCCGTTTTTTTCCCGCCATTTTAAATTATCGATAATAATAATAATAATAATAATGACGATGGTGTTGATTTTTACGCAGTAAAAATGGTACAAGGCGATAGTTATCGTTCGTATCCTCCTCTTGCCATGTCAAGATTACGTTCCCAAATGAATTATGCGCCCGTACCACCCGTGCGATATCGTCGTCGCAATCGACCCAATTAGACGAAGGTAGAATTTAGTACCTGTGGAAAAGTGTGTGTGTGGCTTTAAGCATGAAAAAATTAAAAAATTTTCACCCGAGTCCTTCCGTCTTTTATCCCCTCCCCCACCTTCTTCCCCTCCCCCCACTCTCTCTTTAGACAAAAACTAATGATGTGAAAATTTTTTTTTTCATTCGCATTCTCATTAAAATAATAATAATAATAATAATATTAAAGATGGCAGACGTGAAAGCTTTTTTGTGTCTGAACGAAATTTCAGAGATTTGAAGAGTGTTTTTTTTTAAGAAATGATGATGATAATAATAATAATAATGCTTGAAATTGTAAATAAAAATTTTGTAAATTATTTTGTTCGTTTTGGTTTTCCAACTGACCAAGATTAAAAGAGGATTAAGTGATTAGGGATTAGGGATTAGTTGGGATTAATTTTTGTTAAAATGATTTTTCAGGTAACGATTTGGTATTAAGCCTCACGAAAACATTTGATAAAACATTAAAATCCGTATTGAACATGTCGGACGACAGTTCGTTAGAAGAAGAAAAGAAAAGCATGACGGAAAAAGCAGAATATGAAAACGTTATAGAGAACAAAGAATCGAAATTATGCGGTCAAAATATTAATAATAATAATAATAATAATAATAATAACAACGAGAAAAAAATGGGGAGCGAAAACGATGAATGGGTTAAAGATGAGGAGGAATCAAAGAAATCATGTGTCAAATCATCTGAAAATGTTAAAACGTTAATAAAAGAGAAAAACGTTAAAAAAACACCGGAAATAGTTGCGGAAACGGTTTTGAGAGCGAAAAATACGGAAAACGCGAGCAATTTGAAAAGATCGGAAAGTCTTAACAAACCGGAAAAACCGGATTCGGGTTGTACGAAATTGAAAAGGAGCGAATCCCTGAATAAAAACGAAAAGGAAAACGATTTTATCAAATTGAAACATTCGGATTCGTTGAAAAACGATTTGAAAAGATCCGATTCTCTCACGAAATACGAGAAAACGGAAACGAACATGAACAAGAGGAAACAACAGGAGAGCGGATTGAAAAGGAGTTCGAGCAAGGAAAAGGAAAACGTTTTGTTTGTTAAATTGAAAAGGAAAAACGGAATGCCTGACAGGTCGATAAAAAGGAGGCACACGGTCGGTGGTACGAAGGATTTCGATAAATTACCATGGTTGGATAATCGATTGCAATGCGAAGAATCGGAAAACGAGAAATCGTTGAAATCGAAAGAGAAAAGATCGCTGAGAACGAGTTCGCCGGATTTGAGTTCGTCGAGATTGAAAGCGACAATCGAATCCGAAGGATTGTCCATAGAGGTAAAGGGTCGACAAAGACTCATTCTGTGTCCAGAAGGTAACCGAACGTTGTCAAATTTTCTTCTTTTTCTTCCTTTCAGGTCAGCCTTTTAGGTTCGAGAGGTAACGTACTCGCGACTCTTCGCAAACCACTCATTCCTCCATCGCCGTCAGGTAGA